AAAAAAAAATTAATTAATTAATTAATTTTAAAAAAGGTTTTGTACAGCAAAAGGAACCAACAGACTGAAGAGAAACCAGAGTGGGAAAAATTCTTTGCCAGCTGTTCTTCAGACAAAAGACTAATATTTAAAGACCCAGTCCAAAAGTGGGTATCTGAAATAAAGAGACACTTCTCAGATGCGCAAGTACAAACGGCAAATAAATATATGACAAAATATTAAACATCACTGGTCATTTGAGAGATGCAAATTAAAAAGCTGCAGAAAGAATGGCTATTAGCAAATCAAGCAATAATAAATGCTGGCAGGGCTCTGGGGGAAAAGGAACCCTTCTATACTTTGGTGGGAGTGCAGACCAGTGCAACCACTGTGGAAACCAGTTAAACTAAAACTAAAGGTTCCATTTGACCCAGCTATTCCTCTTCTAGGTATCTTCCCAAAAGAATTAAAAGCATAATACTTCAGTGATGTATTTATAGTGGCACAGTTTGTAACAGCTAAATCTCAGAAATAGCCCAAAAACCTATCATCTGATGAAAGGACAAAAATGTGGTTTTCTTATACAACGGAGTACTACTCTGACACAAAGAATAAGCTTGAGACATTTGTAGCTAAATAGATGTACCTTGAGACCATACTCTTAAGTGAAATGAATTGGACACACGTTTAAATATTGCATTGTTTCTCTGGTGTGCAAAACCTAAAGTGGAAATAAGGCCAAAATGTATAATATATTATTGGGAAATGGGAAGAAAATGTTCAAATGAGAAGGGGAATGGGGGTGGGGGGAGAAGAGATAAAGACAAAAAAAGAGAATAGAAGAAAAAAATGGAAACAAAGCTTTTATAAATATGGAGGCAAAGAGGAGTAGAGGGAGTGGAGGGGAATGGGAAAAAAAAGAAAGAAGCAATATATATTAGGTACAGGTTCAAATTCTCTATGATGAATGTTATCATAATGTATATCTAAAATGTACCAACATGTTTTGCTTCAAAAAAACAAAAAATTTAAAAATAAATTATTAAAAACAAAAAGCAGAGAGACTATTCCTTTCAGTGATAAAATTATTTATACAGATGAAAAAAAAGGACTAACACTTAAGAATGCATTTTTCCTTTTAAGCTAGTTAAGCCATAAAATAACTTACCCTTATTCTCCTTACCTACACTTTAATCACGCTTGGAAAATAATATATATCTTACCTCCTTCTGAATAGTCAATTTAACTTTCAGTCTCTTAGAATGGGGCTCAGTCCAAACAAAGCCTGCATCTACAAGCCGTACCTTCAAAAAAGCAACAACAACAAAAAACATAAATTCCCACATAAAGAAAAAAGATAAAAAGAATATTAATAATTAGATTCCATACGATGCTTTAAGGAATTTATGAACAGCATTACTACATACCATCATAACAAGATAAAGACATCCTCAGAAGTATGGTAACAATAGCAGCAAAGAAAAGGACAGTTCAATGACATTATTAGTGCAACTAATATAATCCAAGCAAAAATTAAAATATTTACCTATAAAAAATTACTTTTTCTAAACAAAGTCCATTGTTCTTTGAATGAAATACATATTAATACAAATATGTGGGTAGATTTTAAGAAAGCAAAGAACTGGTGACTTCATTATCTGGAAGAAACCTCATGAACCAAAGTTTTCACTTGTATTGAGTCTCTGGCCTTTTTTTTTTTTAAGAAGGAACACGCCGGGGATTTAGCTCAGTGGTTCCTCCACCTGCCTCAAAAGCAGAAGGACCCAAGTTCAATCCCTGGTACCAAAAAAAAACAAAGAAGGAACAATCGCTGAAGGAAGTGTCATGTGCTAAATACTGAAAACACAAATCATTAACTCACTGCTAAACCTGCTGCATCTATAGGGATCAAAAAGCTTGCTATATACTATGAGGAACTAAATATACTTCAATAGAGGTAGAAGGGGTGTGTGAGAACAAAGCAAGTAGAAAAACAAGAATGGAGAGGCCAGAGATTTAGCTCAGTGATTCTGCCGCCTGCCTTACAAGTACAAGGACCCAAGTTTGATTCCCAGTACCAACAAAAAAAAAAGAATGGAGGCTGTTGCAATAATTTGAGCAGGAGTTGAAGGGAACTTGACCCAAGAACAATTTAAAATAACAGAAGCAAAAAATAAAATAAAATAAAATAAAACAAAATAAAATAAAATAACAGAAGCAGAGTCAAGAGTTATTTAGGAGATAAAATCTACAACAAGAACTAGGTATGACAAAGAGGAAGAGAACACATTCTAGAATGATGCTCAAATATTCAGCTTGGACAACTAGGTCTCCTTCTCACACAAATGAACAACAGATTTAATGGGAAGAGCTGTTGAAATTTAAGAGAATATCTGAGATAACCAAGTGGACTTGTTCAATGGTCTGATACATACTGTTCTGGAGATCTATGGAAAATTTTGGCTGTAGATAACAGATTTGAGAGTGTATAAGCAAGTGGATTATAATTTTATCAAGTATTATTTGGTAAGAACTAGTCTAACTAGTATAGATGCAGCATTCTGAAGTAAAACTCTATGACTGGCTCCCCTAAAGCAAAATCTCATAGTAACAAAGTATGCCAGGTACAGAGAGGAACAAGAAGCTTCCTATTTATCCCCTCAGTTTCCATCTCCAGGAGTCAAAAGGAAGCTCCAAGGACAATGAATCATACTGCTCTTCCCACAACCTCCATCCCTCATCTGCAGGAATGGAAAAAGGGTCCTTGACATGTACGTCAGCATTCCCCTAATACAGCCTCACCAGATAACTGTCCTTAGACAATCAAAATTAATTAGTCTTAATCAGTCCTGTATCTTTCTTTATCATAGTCCCAGACATCTCAGTCACCCATTCCCCACACTGATTTTCATGTAGTTCCACCCAGTCCCTATTCTCTCCCCATCTAACAGTCCTCCCAAATTCTGAAACTCTTTCACTGTGCCATCTAGAACTCAACATTCACTACAAAAAAAATTTCCTAGATCATTAACTGCTTTGGTGATCATTCCCTTCACCTTCTAGATCTCCTAATTATACTGCACCCTCATAGCTAATTAACATGCCTATTTTCACTCAGTTTCTTTCTACCATTGGACCAGAAGCCAGACAGCTGCCCTCCTTGTTCTTCATTGCTAAATGCTATAACATTCTCCCTACCTCCTCCTTCAATATACTCAGCCTGAATCTAAAGTCATTAGACTCTACCACCTAAACCCTTTGGTATCTGTTAATCCTTGTATCACTTGCTCTCATTTCTCAAAGATTTTATTTCTTAGCTCAGTGTCACTCTTTTCAACAATATTAATACTTAGTAATTTCAATATCCACACATCTCCACAATACTCTGATCTCTCCATTCTTTGAGCTCCTGTCCCTAAGATCTTGTTCTCCTTCCTGTGCTGGCTACTCATATCCTTTTCTACCTATAACTGCAACCCTTCCAAAATCCTACTGACCAACCACCTATCTTTCCAGTTCATTCCTTCTAGTGCCTAGGCAACAAAAATCCTTTAATCTAATGCAAGAGAAAAACCATTCTCCCACCTTTTCGTTATCCCTCATCCCTCCTCAACTAAACACTTGCATCCTATCTCAGCTAATTTGAAAATCAAACATCAAAATTATTCCATATACACATCTCAATTCCCTTGGTTCCTCTCATTTTACCTCAGTCACCAGGCTTGATTAAATTCAATGTTCTGCTTGCTCTATGTATTAAAGGGCAGTTGGTGGGGTTAAAGAAATAAATGCATGCCATCCTCACTCTCTTTATATTTAAAATACTGTTAGGTCTATCTAGCACCAATACAGCATTGTTCTAGTGCTTTTCCTCTCCTACTCTTCCCGGAGGACTATTTCATACCTTCCCCTCTCTCTTCAAATATTTAATAGCTCTTTTTTCACAGCTACGTTTGTTTTCTTTGAAGAGAATTTCCAGAATGCCCCACTTACCAACCACAGATAAACTGCCCATGGTCCTATCAACACCAGCCTCTAGACAGTCCCCTTACAATACTGTTCCATCCAATACTGCAGCTTCCCAAAATTATGCCTGGTAGAGAGTAAGTGCTGGGTGAATGAATGAACAAACACAAATGTATTCTTTTACTGAGCTATATTCTCTTTTCCACTCCTCAAGGAAATCTTCCAGACAATTATTCCATCTCCTTGCAATTTCACAAGATTTTCCCTTTGTATGCTATCATTCCCAGAGATTACAAACAGTTGTACCTCCGAAAGACTGTCTATACTTGTCTCCTCCCACTCTCTCATTTCCATTCAAATCATGTCCTTATTATCATCATAAACAATAACCAGAGGTTGTTCACTAGAGTTAATTGTGACCTCCACGTTGTTAAATTTACATAACTCATATGTGAACCATCAGTTGCAAAGTACATAGCCAATAATTCCCCTTTTCTTAAAACACTTCCCTTGCTTTCTTGGATATCATACTTATCTAATTTTACTCCTACCTCCCTCCCCATCACCTCCTTTCAGTCTACTTTGCTGATTCTTCATTTGCCTGAATTTTTATCATTAAAGGACTCCAGGATTCAGTCTTCCAATTTCTTCTCTTTTCTATTTAAACTCCCTATATAATCTCACTCAATTCATGACTTTATCATCTATGCTCCAAATTCATCTTCTCTAGTCTGGATCATTCCCTTATTTATCTAGCTTCGGACTTAGTATTTCTACTTAAATGTCTATGGACAGCTACATATCAGTTAGAGATGAGTTTTCATCTCCCCTACCAGTGACCTGTTCTTCCTGAAGCCTTTCTGAATCCAGCAATGGCAACTCCCTCCTTCTGACGGCTCAGGTCATAAACAGTAGAAGTCATCTTTAACGCTTATACACATATCCAACTATACCAGTAAATGCTACTGACTACCATCAAAGTAGTTCCAGAATCTATTTCTCATCATCGTCACTTCTGACCCAAGCCATCATTTTTCAGAATTATTAGGATCATTTCCTAAGGTTTATGCTTCTAGCATTATCCCCACTCTTAACATCTATTCTAAACACAGCAGCTGGAGGGACTGGCAAATCATATCATCTACTCTATCTTTTGTCCTCTGTACCTATTAATAGTCAAAGTAAAAACCCGTCCTTGCAAAGTCCTACAAGGTCGACAAAACTGACTTTTCATAACTTCCTTGACTTCATTCCCAACTAATTATCCTCTTACCAATTCACTCTAACAAGTATGCTCTTACCTCCAAGTCTCCACACTTGTTTTCTCTACCCATAAGGCTCTTCCTTCAGATTTTTGCATAGCTCCCTTCCTTATCATCTTTAATGTTTACTCAAATGTTACCTTCTTGTAGAGAGCTTCCCTAAATGCTCCATTTTTAATTTCAACTCCTCCCTGAACAGTGCTTATCCCCCTCTTAGTTTTTTTCTGCACAGAATTTCATTGTCTACTCTACATATCACACACCCAAACTAGAATGTAAGGTAAGACCAGATTGTCTCTCTTATTCACTGCCATATCCCTATCAACAAAAGTTTGTCACAGAACTGGTACTTATTAAATATCTGCTATATGAATTAATGAATTATTAAAACTCATCAGACACAACAAAAATATAAAAGTGAAAAAAATAATAAAATACCCACATCCAAAAAAACCTGACTAGAAGAAAAAAAGTCAAGAAATAGAAGAAAACTTTAAAAAGAAAAAAAAAAAATAGTTACAGTTTCCTAAACTGAAAATCTGAAATCCAAAATGTTCCAAATTCAAAATTTCTTTTTTTTTGGTACCAGGAATTCAGGGCCTTGAGCTTGCGAGGCAGACAGCAGAACCACTGAGCTAAATCCCTGGCTCCGAAATTTCTACAGTACTGATATAATGGAAGAAACGGAAAATTCTATACCAAGAAACTTGGTTTCATGCATAAAACTATTTAAAATATTGTATAAAATTACCTTCAGGCCATGTGTGTAAGGTGTATATGACACAATGAATTTTGTGTTTAGACTTGGGTCTCATGCCCAACATATCTCATTCCATATAAATGAATACTTCAAAATTTTTGAAAATAATTAGAAATCTGAAATACTTCTTGCCCCAAGCATTTCATATAAGGAATATTCAACCTGTTATCAAAATCCTCAGAAAAATTCAAGGACAAAATACATCAAGAATAAGAAAGACTCTGGAACTTAAAATATTACTGTTGGGGCAGGGGATGAACTCTGGCACCACACCTGCCTAGCAAGCGCAAGGTCCTGAGTTCAATCCCTGGTACCTCAAAAAAAAAAAAAAGATGTAAACAGGACTGTAACCAGACCATAGTTTTTTGGAGACATTTATGCACAGACTTTAAATGATAGGCACATTTTCTTTCCAGAAAAATAATTTAAAACTTTTAAAAGGAACCAAAGACTAGTATAGCCCTAATACCATAATCTCCTATATTATATAAAAATCTTTTATATAAAGATTTTTCAGAAGAAAAATATTACATATAAGAGATTCTTAAGAGTTGGGGATACAGTTCAGTGCTATATATTGATACAGAGTGCTTGCCAATTGCCTAGCGTGGATATATGCTATGTATATGGATATATGGATACATGATATACATGGATATAGAGTGCTTGCCAATTGCCTAGCATGCATGAGGCCTGGGTTCAATACCCAGCATCACACACACACACATAAAAGGGTTTCTCAACAAATAATGAAAATCATAGGAGAATTTTCTGAAAATGAAAGCTTTACTGAAAACATGCCTATAAACACAGATTTTTAGCCATGTGACCTACCTTACTAAGAGGGGCTTTAATTTTTTTCAAACACAAAGCAAGAAGTTCCTTGGATTCTAAAGCACATTGTACCCAAGTTCCTGGTGGCTGAAAATATCTGAGGAAGAAAAAAATACAATGAAATCCAGTATTTCTCAGAAAATAAAATAAAATTCCCATCTAAATATGCAGATACAACACTGATTATTACCTAAGAAAAATACAGTAATACCCAAGATTGTTCTCAAGCACTTAACCGAATGTATTTTAATACTTTGAGTAAACTTTCAATTAGACCAGTACCTTTAGCTTAAAAAGATAAAATTCTGATTGAGAAAGACAATTGAGATAACCTATTAAAGTGGTATTACTTTAATTACTAGAAAAAATCCCAGTAAGGATGACAAAATGTCCAAAAGTTCCTGGAAACTAGGTTCCGAAAAATAGATAAGAATCATCTCAAAATGATATTAAAATAATTTATTCTGTTCTTCTAAAGATGTTGAGAACCGCTTATTTCTCACAAGGCAGATTAGTACTCACAACACTACGTATCAGATTATTCATCTATATAATAAGCCCTTTTTCAAATAATATAATTCAAATTTTAATATCTTAGGTAAAAATCTCATTAAAACTTAAATCCCTAATGAACATCCTTTTGTTTTTCAGCCCAGTCTTCCAAGACTTAGTACAGTGCCTGCAATATAGTAGGTATCCAATACTTGTTTGCTAAAAAATTGATACTTCTAAAGGTATTATGTGAATATGTGAATCCCTTTTTGCCATATTTGTTAAATAACTAAACATTCTGCTTTTCACTTTTCAAGGTTCAAACAAAAATGTTACACAGATTCCCCTTTGCTCACAAGTAGTACTTTTGTAGTGAGAAAGGGCTTCACGTATCAGTTAATAAAATCTCCATCCTGACAAGGAAACTAAGGCCCTGAGATAAGTAACCTAGTTTTCGAGAAATCTAATACAAACTAGCCCTTCTGATTCTTTGTGCAGTAACAACTCCAACATGCTTTTAAGAATAGCAAATATTGGGCTGGGGATTTAGCTCAGTGGTTCCGCCACCTGCCTCGCAAGCACAAGGACCCGAGTTCGATCCCCGGTACCAAATAA